AGGTCTGAGGATTAATGTATAAGATGATGATTATAGCTGATAACATTGTATTGTATAATTGAAATGTGCTAAGAGAGTGGAACTTAAATGTTCTCAAAACAAAAAAAGGATAAATATGTGAAGCGATAGATATGTTAATTAACTTGATGGGGTAATCCTTTAACAATGAAAACATGTATCAAGTAATCACACTGTACACTCTAAATACCTTAATTTTATTTGTCAATTATAACTCCATGAAGTTGAAAATTAAAATTAAAAAAAAAAAGTGTTTTCCTCACTACATCCCCACCGTTTACCTATCTATAACTTCTACTTAACTCAGTTCAGGTGTTAGCCTTTGGTGACTCTCCTCTTTCCTGAGCTCCAACATAAAATGTGCTTTATCGATTACTCTTCGCCTCACCATATTATCTTAACCATATGCCTACTTGTTTCATTTCTTATTGCCCTTCTCACATGGTCTTCATCATTTGCTTACTTGAATGAAGTCTGGGAATTTCTTGAGAAAAGTTTTTGTTGGGTCATCTTTTTATACACTGTGTCAACTACAGTATTTGGAATATAGTAGTTCCTCAGAGTTTATTGAATTAATGAATGAATTGAAACACCGTTTTCCAATAAATATTCCTGGTACAGGATTGTTACCTATAATATAAATTCATATAATCAAAGCTCACAAACAACCTAAAATGAAAACTACTTATTTTCATTTTTGGACATTCTAAATTCATTTTAAAAAGAGGTACAAAAGCCTAACTTGCTTAACTTTAGATATACATTTTGGGTCATGTAGTTGATCTTATTGAATTAGTGATTTAAATTTTCGCTGCATAAAAGAAAAGAATGTTGTCTCAATCTAGAATAACTATTAATATTAATGTTATTCTTTATCTTAATTAAAGAACTGAAATTTCTATTTATAGTCCTAAGTGATTAAAATCCTCATGTTTTCTCATCCATTTCTTTATTTGCTTTGTCTCAGCCAATGGGGTCTCATGTCTGGAACCAGGGTTCTTTCTGCAGGAACTGCAATCTGCTATCTTCTGCTGAAAGAGCATGGACCCTCTTTCCTTTCTATTGTTGAGTTGCATCCAAGCCTTTCAGATGGCCTACATTTTCACAGTTCCAGAGGATCAATAGGAAGAAAGGCGATGACCTCCACTTTGGTGAGACTTTGTCACTAGGGAGTATGGCACTAATTTATAATCCACTTTTGATAATGAAATCAGCTAAAATTTGCACTACCAGTCATGTAGAAAATTATCACAACCCTCCTCACATACAATGACTTTCCTTTCCTTTATGCAAAGCTTTTTATTATGGAATAAAAATTAAAACTGTGCAGATTGGGTAGGATATATAATATCCTTAAGCATTTTAAAGCAGATTTAAAAGGGAAATTATTGTTTCCCATGTTGAAACAAAGATTAAGTGAAACAGAAATTGAAATTTTACATATAATACTTATATCTAGCCTTAATGCTAAAAATTATATTTAAACACACGCATAAAGGAACAACAGTAACAACCAACTAAGCAAACAAACAAATGACAGGGTGGGTAGTATTTTTTTTTTTAAGATTTTATTTATTTATTTGAGACAGAGAGGATAAGAGACAGAGAGCATGAGAGGGAGGAGGGTCAGAGGGAGAAGCAGACTCCCTGCCGAGCAGGGAGCCCGATGCGGGACTCGATCCCGGGACTCCAGGATCATGACCTGAGCCGAAGGCAGTCGCTTAACCAGCTGAGCCACCCAGGCGCCCAAAGGTGGGTAGTATTTTTATTTCTTCCATGTTTAATGTAACTTAACCTTGCTTCAGGAAAACAATACTTATGGATAATTACCAAAATTGAACAGCAGAGGGCAGAAAATAGCAAATTCTGTTTCTTTGAGCAAGCTACTCTATTCAACTATAGATCGAGTAGTTTTGAAATTTTCAAAATTGATTTTATTACTGATCAATTAGAGATATATTCTTGAAGTGAGAAGTTTCTAAGTATTCAAAATAAATTCTAGTAGTTTTCATTCCTTTTCATAACTATTTACTTCAGTCAATTTAATTACATTTATATTGATAGTATTCTATACTTGAAAAATATAAGCTGTATAAATATTATAGCACATTAGAAAGAGTTCCATGAATGATGATATTAATATAATGATACTAACATTGCAGGAAATGTATACAGGTATGTTATGAAATGTACATACGTAATAACTACCTTGTGAAAGACACATTAATAGAATAGCAGTTGAATTACAACTAATGCCTACTAAATTTTTTATTTCTATTTTATATATGAATTATAATTTGTCATTAAATAGTAATATTTACCCAGAGTTCTTACATTATTTACTAGGGAAAATGATCTATGATTCAGCAAATTCTTTCTTTATATCATTTGCTATTATAGAATGTAATTCAGTCATTTTGAGTTCATCCTTGCCTTTGAATTTGAAATAGATTAGTATGAAAATAGTTTTTGAACATTTTTTAAAAGAAAAATTCAATTTCCATTGATCTACACTTCAAACGTCATTGTTTCTCCACATTTAAGCTCTTCTCTCTCTTCTTTCATTCCAAGTTTCTTTGTATGAAATTGAGGTTCTTGTGGAAAAAACTGAATGGAGAAAAAAAGAAAATAGCTGGAAAAGTATTTTTTTATTTTGCTCTGAGAAATTATTTATTCATTCATATGTATTTTTATATACATCATATATTTCAAATAGAGAATAATTTCAGATCATTTTTTGTGCCTTACATCACAACTAGTGATTGAATAGAGAAGCTTAATTTAATTATTCTTTATATTGTGAATTTGGATATATTTTTATTTATATCTCTTTTACCATTTATCCTTACTTAATTTTTAAAAAACTAAATGCATTTAAATTCACAGGGCCTGTTTTACATATAGTGAATTGCTTATTAACAGACTAAAATAAATTCTTGGTGATAAAATTAGGAGGTATTTTTACTAAGGTATTTTACTAAGCTTAGTAGTATATTATGGGTATTTCACTTCCTGGTTTAGGAATAAATATCTAAAATCAAAAGCAGGGGAAGATCATAACCTGAAATCACAGATTTATAGGATTTGAGAGCCATAGAGGACACTTTGCCCATCTTTCTCATTTCTAAAATGGAGAAATTAAGCCCTGGAATGATTAAGGGGCAAGTGTGAGGTAACAGTTAGCAAAGAGGTTGTAGGAATGATACTAGTGTGATGGTTGCACAGGAAGGCAGCATGATAGACTAACACTCTCAGCATTCTGAAATATTAGCAAGTCAGTCCTTTAGTATTATGGGCTCCAATCTACGGCCTTCTGGAAACAATCCCTTGTCCTTTATTTCTTTGTTTAAACCAAAAAATCCATAAAACTTAAGAATTTCTGAGGCAGCTGAAGGAATTGCCAGAGCAGGTTCCCAGGCAACTGCTTGGCAAGCGGTGAGAAGTGCATAAATTTCGCAGGGGGGAAGTCCAGTCTTAGATCCTCCCCATCAACTCCCTTCCCACAAACTTTAATCCCTAACCTCATCTTTCTTTCGCAGTGATCTCAAGCTCGCGGGTTTAAAGTGATGAAAACTTAGCTTACTTTCTTTGAGCAGTGATTTCTCAAAACTCAGGGCCAACACGCGGTGGAATATCCGGTTTCTCACTAGGTCCCTGGGAAAGATTGTGCAGCTCAAAGGCCTTTCTAGATTTACTTCATCTTCTTTCTTTCTCCTATGAGCCTTTCCTTGAAACGGAATCTTCTGCTTTCAGTAAAGAAAGGGCTTCTAAAGAGCCAAGTCTGCATGTCTTTACTACAGGAGGGAATCTGTCTTTAGTGAAGTCTGCCAGACCTGCACTCAGCTGGCTCTGCAAGTTGGCATTATGACCCAATGGAACACACTCTAAAGATGGGATATCCATGCAAAGTATTTCAAAGATTCAATCTTGATCTCCTCCTATGCGGCTTTAGCCTTTAAAGAAAGAATTTTGGGTTTGTCCCTGGATGCTGGCTACATCACATTTAGCAAAACTTCACGATTTTGGAACAGTTCTTCGATGGGTATTTTGTTTCCTTGTTTGCTTTTTGGCTGGGTCAGGTGAGGAGGATGATAGCTTTTCTACATTGCTAGGTGAGTTTTCACAGGCCATAGAAAACGAAAATAAAAATTACTTAAAATGTAAAACAGCAGGGCCTGGTGAGAAAACGCTTCACCGGCAACAATTAGCAATTCGGCTTCTGCACAGCAGCCGGAAATCAGCTTCGCTGCGTTTGGTCCAGGCTGGAGCATCTGAGCGGCAGCTGCTGCGGAGGCACAAAGGTGGCACGAGGCGAAGAGTGGGGCACTGTCCTCGGTGCTGAAAGGCAGAAGCGTTCGGTGGGCGCGACAGCTCGCGAGACCCGAGGTCTAGACCAAGGGTAGCGGCTGCCCGGCTCTGAGCCGCGCTTTCTTAGCGCCGCGCACGCGACGCTGCCAGGGCAGTGCGGGGTGCGGGGTGCGGGGTGCGGGGGAGGGTTTGGACGCGCGCGCCAGCATCCTGCCGCGAGTCGCGCACGCGCGCCCGGGACTGCCTGCTCCTCTGTGACTTGCGTGTGTGTGTATGTGTGTGTGTGCGCGCGCGCGCGCGCGCGCGTGTGTGAGACAGAGGGGAGAGGGAGAAGAGAGCGCGAGAGAGGGTGAGTGTGTGTGAGTGCATGGGAGGGTGCTGAATATTCCAAGACACTGGAACCACAGCGGCAGCTCCGCTGAAAACTGCATCCAGCCAGTCCTCCGGACTTCGGGAGCAGGGACAGGGCGCAGGGCATCAGCAGCCACCAGCAGGACCTGGGAAATAGGAATTCTTCTGCCTCCACTTCAGGTTTTTAGGAGCTTGGTGCTAAATTGCTGTCTCAAAATGCAGAGGATCTAATTTGCTGAGGAAAACCGCCAAGGAAGAAAGAGGAGGAAAAGGAAAAAAAAAAAAGGGGGGGGTATTTTGTGGATGCTCTACTTTTCTTGGAAATGCAAAAGATTATGCATATATCTGTCCTCCTTTCTCCTGTTTTATGGGGACTGATTTTTGGTGTCTCTTCTAACAGCATACAGATAGGTAGGTACCCTTTGTGCTCTGCTTTTGAATTGTGCATAATTTGGTGGTAATCTTTGTTCACAGTGGACAAATTAATTCATGTCATGTAGACTTATGTCATACCTTAACTGCATTCCAGATTTAAACTGCCTAGAATATACATGTTTTTCTTAGCATGAAGCAAAGGGAATAGGCTATGGCTTTGATACAATAGAGGAAAAGGTGTTCTCATTTCTGATTCCCAAATTTTATTAATTCTGCCTCAAGCAACATTTTCCTGTTTGTTAAGGTCCTCTAGGGGGTCTGAATGAAAAGCTTGTGGTTACCAGGAAAGGCTAACGTTTCTGGCCACCTACCTCGCCCTCAGACTCTCATCTGTGTCTTGACCCCTTAGCTACCATTTGGAGATCAGCTCCCCGCTGCCCGAGTCCCTTGATGTATTTATTCGGCCTATTAGCGAGAATAAGAGACTCCTGGGCTGTTGGGCGCTAGCGGGCTCCCCTCCTTTCCTTCCCGGGCACTGACACTATTCTGCTTGGTGTTTGTTCTTTGCAGGGGGGCTATTTCCCAGGGGCGCCGATCAGGAATACAGTGCATTTCGGGTAGGAATGGTTCAGTTTTCCACTTCGGAGTTCAGACTGACTCCCCACATCGACAATTTGGAGGTAGCAAACAGCTTCGCAGTCACTAATGCTTGTAAGTAATGAATATTCATGTCTTTTGGATGCCGCCCGCGGAGCGCCCGCGAGTGTGGGTTGGTGTGTGTGTGTGTTTCTGTGTGTCAGTGTGTGGGTGTGAGTGACTGCACACGCGCGTGCGTGTGACGGCGTAGGGAGAAAGTGGCTGCAATCTCGGGGACCCCCACTGGCGGGGAGGGGGTGAAGAGGGAGCAAAAGCATTGAAGAGTGTGCGCACTAGGGAAGTGGGGTGAGGATTGGAGCTGGAGGGGGCTTCCTTAGGTTCTGGGGATTCTAGCTTATCTTGAGTGCTTCAAGAGAAGCCCTCCTTGCCCCTTCCCCTCCCCCTCCCCCCTTGCGCGACTGGGGGTGCCCTGACCACAGAGAACACATTTATTCCCCTGGGCGCACAGTCGGGCTGCTGGATAGATCCCACGGGGCACTGCTAGAGCCCGGCCGCCCGCCCCGGCAGCTGCACTCCTCTCCTGACCCCGGATTTAAATCCACAGGCCCAGCTCGGATTCACTGTGTGGGCCCCGCGAGCCCTAGATTCCCCGCTTCGACGGGATAAGTTGTTAAAATGGTTCTGGAGTTGGGTTCGGGATTGTTACATAACGCCCACCCGAGGGGCGCGGCGAGGCGCGGCGAGGAGCGAGGCCGACGCAGGCCCACCGCCCGCCGGGCCGGGGAGGGGCGGAGCGGGAGCTCAGTCGATTTCTCGGTGCTCCGCGGAGCTTCAGCCGAAGTTGAAGGGGGCCATTCTGCTGTGGGCGCCGCGGTCAGCTCGCCGGCCGGGTGCGCTTTTTTCTCAGGTAGCGTGGCTCCAGCAAAGGCAGCGAGAGGAGAAGGACCCGAAAGCAGCTGGATCCGGCCGAGTTTGGACCTCAGAAGTCGCTGATCAGCCATTTTAGTCTTTGCAGTTATCCGTGTTAGCCCCGTCACTCTGCTCAGGGTTCCGGGACACGCGATGAAGCTCTGTCAAGGCTTCAGACAAAGTAATAGAATCCAAGCCGTTAAGTCTCTAAAAGGTTCAATGGAGAGGCTCGCGGGCTCCTGTCCCGGCGCTCCCACCCCTGCGCGGCCGTGGGCAGTGCAGCCGCCGGCGCTGTGCCTTCCTGCCCCCTTCTCCGCAGCTGCCATCATTTCCTGCCGACCCGGTTGGGGGATTCTTTTCTGCCTTAATGTTCTCCGTTTTTATTAAATGGTTAACAGTTTCGGGGGGTGGGTCGCAGATGGCTCACCTTCCACTTCGGCTACAGTGTAGAGGAGCTAGCGGAAAATTACCACAGAAAAAGCCCAACTGCTGTGTTCCCACATTAGGCAAAGTGGTTGTCATCTCAATTCCCCACACTGAGCCTCAATCATATATTCGATAGGTCACCCTGATTATGATATCAGGAACATCATCAACTCATTTTGAAACTACCACGGCTCGGATGAAGAAGTGAAACAATTTTCGTTTACTGATAGAACAGGGGCATTATTATGGTCATGTTAGATGTCTAGGATCCAGTTGTTTATAAAGAACCTATTTAAGAAGGTTTCAGTGCTGTATGTTTTCTTCGAATGTTGATACCAAAGGAGAGAAGAAACTGAAGGGACAGGCGTGCAGGGAGAGATAGATAGATAGATAGATGATAGATAGATAGATAGATAGATAGATAGATAGATAGATAGATAGATAGATAGATAGAGGCAAGGTGGACTTGCAGCTTAAAAAAAAAAAAAATTCTCCGTAAAAGAACATTAAGAATATCTTGAAAAATTTCAGTACATAGATACAAAGAAGCCGCTGTAGTTTAATTATTGAAGGTTTTTATACTTGACCTATTAACCAACCAGATTTAGGTTATTTATTTGATTTGACATCAAATTTCTATTTTTTCCTGAGTTATGGGTTTAACCTACGTCTGTACTAAGTATCTAACTGTATATAATTGTATACTAGTGTGAAAATGCTTTGAAAAGTAGTGAAACTAAGACAACACTATGATTATTGGGAGTATGTAGATTTCTAAAACAATGTGAAAGTAATTGACAGGTACACTGTTGAAAATGGTCAGTGTTGGAGAAGTTCACTCATTGGTGAAAATAACGAGAGTGCCTAACTGAGAAAATAACAGATATGTCCACTGAACAAAATGAATATTCCTTGATTCTAAGAGATGTTGAATGACTGTGCTGGGGCTTTGTAAAGATTAAAGATTATTTTTGGTTTAGGTTAGGTGACTGGTTTAGGTCTTCAGTCTCGATATTTTTGAATAGATTTATTTTTAATATGAATTGTATTGAAATAAGTTATGCAGACAGGAAATGTATATATATTAGGACATATAACTCCATGAATTTCCACAGAATGAATACATCCATGGCACATGAATTTCATCGAAAACACACACACAATTTAATTTGTTTGAACATACTTCTGAGAAATGGGGAAAATCAAATCTTTATTTTGTGCAGATTTTTTTGTTTTTCTCAGAAAATGAATCTGAAATAAAAATGCATGTCTCCAGATCCCAAAATTACTCTACCATGGGTTATTATTATTCTGAGAAACTAAAACGAATTGTGGTAAGCAACTGAATGCCTTTTCAAGTTTGGCATGTGCCACTCCCATGTTATAAGTAATCTTATTGATTGTTAAAGAGAACTAATGAGGCACTGTTATTCAAAAGAGACATATTGGATAGAATTTTCTAGAGTTCACATTGACTCATTGAGCAAATAACATTTGGGACTCAGTTTCTTCATTCCCTTAGGAATTTCACAATCTAGAGCTTGTAAAATGAACTGGAGTGTTCGTATCCTTCTTCATTTCTTTTTGTTTCGCCAAGGGCAGGAGAAAAATGTGAAATTAGTTTAACTCTTTATGTTCATGTGAACTACAACCATGAAGTCAGTAGTCAAGAAATGAATGGAAATCTCTAATCTTAAATTTGTCAAGATGAGTCTTGATCATTTTAATCCTGCTCAAGATTTTTCTCCGATTCTTAGCCTTTGCTTGCTTTTTTGGTCAGGGGAGTCCATGATTCTTTACTATATGAAGTGGAAGCAGCAGCATCAAATATGTTGACAGATAAACCAAAATGACTTCCTCTCATTTCCTCCAGAAATTGTAGGAATTCTATTTTTTAACTCCATTATTAAAATATGTACCATCAATCAATTTTCATAAAGTAGCTTGTTGTTTCACCTAGCTAAATTGTAAAAATCCCATAGAGTATATATTAAGAAAGTGGAGTTTTATAACAATAGTATAATTTCAAGATAGAAGAGAAATTAGTTTACTAATTTAGTTTTATTCCTGAGATAAAGGAACTTATTTAGAAATGTCTAGGTTGACTCTGATTTAAGGATCTAGTGCTGTCCACCAAATGGGTTCAGGTTATGCAAATGAAGTGAAGTCATTATATTGTCAACTGGGTAAAATGTGCAGGACACCAACTCCCACATCTTTCCCTTTCATAGTCACAGTGGGATAGGGAAAGTACCTGTTTGTTCCCATTTGTTTCCATGGGTACTTGAGGAAATAGACAGATTTCCAATTCTTTCTTTCTCTTTCACTCTCCCCCTCCTCCCTCCTCCTTTCCTTTCCTCCTTCTCTTTCTTCTTAGCTAGAGATAGTACTAAGATTTTTATTTTTTCTTGAAGGCCGATAAAACATAAACCTTTAATATGAGAAAATACAAACCATAAAACCAGGAGAAAAAAAAAAAAAACTAGCATCTGATGTGTTCAACAGTTCAGACTAGTGATGGGCCTCAAGAATTCCTCCCTCCCTCCCTCCCTCCTTCCTTCCCTCCTTCCTTTCCCCCTTCTTCCCTCTCTTCCTTCCTTCCCTACCCTCTCCATTCCTTCCTTCCCTCCCTCCTCCATTCCTTCTTTCTTCCTTCCTTCCTTTCTTCCTTTCTCCGTCCCTCCCTCCGTACTCTCTTCCTTCTTTCAATATTTACTGAGTGCCTTCTGGTCGTCAGAGAATAAATGAATACTTTTCTCATAGAAATTCATTTTTTTTTCCTAACCTTTTCCTTCTGTACTCTTTTGAATAGTTTTCAAAGTCTCGTCGACCTTGAGGCCTTCAGTGTGCACTGGCCACCATGGTCTTTTCTAAGAACCTTTGAGGATGTGAAGATATTCTAATTGTTCTTATACAGAAGCAGTATATTACAGAAACTCAGATTTTTTGAAAATAATAAATTTGATTTTGTCATATATGTTCACACCACATATTATATATAGTTTAACAAAACAGCAGATTTTAGGAAAATACTAAATATTTTTACATTCTCAAAAAATTTAAGAAATGAGTACTCTGCTCATTACCAAAATTTCTTTAAAACAAAACTGTCTAAAGCAGCTACAAACATGAATATTGGATCCCATAGGGCTTTAGAATGATTAATATGAGATTTCCTCTTCAAAATCTTTCCTTTCTATTTCTTTTCATGAATGACTTTGACAAATTGCTATTAGTCTATTTTAAAATAATCTAATTTTACATTTCAATTCCATAAAATAAATTATAAAAATATTTAAAGAAATAACAGATAAAAATCTACTTTTTCTCTAAGCCAGCAGATGGGGATGTTGGAGAAAATATTGTTCTTTCATAAAACTGTTGCGCACACTAAATACCTTTTGAAACATTGTAAACACATTTATTTAGAGAAATTTAAAAAATATATAAATGGTGTTTACTTTGAAAAAGTTCATTTAAAATTCTGTTTGAAAAACAACTAAAATGTCTCTTAAAACAGAGTGCCTTTGATTTTATATAGATTATCTTGAATATCCTTGTAAAATTGATTAATATGATAATAAATAATTTAAAAAGGCATCCAGAGACAGCATTGATTGTAAATGCTCTCAGAAGAGAGAGAATTCTAAAATTTTATTTTTTTTTGACTTTTTAACCTTGATTCTTCAGATATCATTTTTAAGGTGTATTTCTTATCATTGAATTTTTGTTGTGAACTATTGAAATTGTATATCTGTGTTCACTGAATTAATTCATAT